TACTCTGTACCGAAATAAGTGTCACCATAATCATCTGAATGGATTAACAATCATTCTATAGAACTAACTTGGCTCTCTTAATCATGATTTGTACTAGTGAAACTGCATGGGCCAAAGCTTACACTTAAACCATGAATGAAAGGACAATTTGAAGCGTAAAGAATAACAAATTCTGGGAAAACTTTCTAGTAACTAGTCCAAAAGATCTGAAATACACCAATATGACAGATTTTCTGTTTCATTTCCGTATAATGAACTAAGAAATATGACAACCCCAAATGTCAATACTGTGGTATCTACAGATAAGAATTAAAATACAAGATTTCTTGCTTCAACATCAAGTTGCAGAGCAGAAGTCTCCCTGACTATGCACCACAACAAGAAAACTGCCTGCCTGCTCTTTCTTTTGTTTATTGATTCCATCCCTTCAAAGCAAACCATCCAAAGTAGGAGAAGAGAGAGAAGCATTCACACCAGACACTCCATCATTCTCTGATGAAGTCGTCATTGTCCATGCTGGGGGGTGACAATGGTGGAAGAGCAGCCTCATGAGCTGCACTAGCTTCAATTTCTAGCACCTTCCTAACAGATGCTTGATGCCAGCTCTTGATGATAAGAGACCAATAGTTCTACATCAGCAAACTCACACACCAGATTCAAGTTGAAAGGGACAATGAAGCAGTGCACCCAAAAAAAGAAAAAGACGCTGCGCTCAAGTATATACCAGTTAAGCATCTCTTCCTCGGTTGCAGTTGAAGCAATTATAAATGCCTGCAATGAATAAAATTTACATAGACGATGACAAAACAGTTAGAAGGACATGATATAAAAAACAATCATACCAAGCCAAAACATACATCAGAGAGCAATCCAACTACATAGAGCACAAAATTCACCCCACAACATCTGGTCCATGGTCTCAGGATTTGATGAAATAAAGAACCAAGATGGTGCTCACTCATGCCGCATAATACTCACTTGGCTGTGAACTGACCACCTCACAGGAATATTAACCACAAACTCAGCATATGGCCTTATCAATTGCTTGGAACTTTATCAAGCATCAGTCGAAACATTGCTCCCATTTTTTCAGTGTCAATTATTCATCTTCAATGCCTCTAGCTACCTAAATCATGTATGTAATGGTCTTTCCCTTTAATTTAGACTCCCCAAATTTCCTAAGAAAAACTTTAGACTGTATGATACCAAAAGTCTGTAACTCTACTGGTAAATATTTCAGGGGCTTTTTAAAAAAAAAAAAAAAAATCTAGCTTAGTGCCTTAGTAGCTTGTTGCATTTCCCATATTCCAACACTTACTGCAACTCATGAATAGCAATAGCAAAGATATCAAGATAAACAAAAATACAAGAAGAACAGAAGGTACTGAACTTATAGCTCCATCTTCTGACATCTTCCTTGGTAGGTTTGCAGCCACATCATCACGTCTAGATGTCAGGTCCGAAAATTTGGCATATGTGTAGTGTAGAACAGCAACATCCTCCCAATTTGATTTCACTAAAAAAAGGTGTACCGAGTATGTGTTGGTTTGTTTTTAAACAGACAAATCTTTTGCTTGATATGGATTGTGCTCAAAATTTAAATGAGAAATACAAGTAAGGATTACGCGTAAGTGCACATAATTACAACAAGTAATATAATGATAAATAGAGTTGTCGATCCCTCGAGAAGTTGATTTACTATTTGTTACTAATTACTAAAATTGTAACAAGCAAAGTTTTATCCAAGCAACAAGAAAAGCAAGTTGTTAAGGATTGCAAGTTAAATGTATAGTGGAGAAACAATATAATTAAGGCCTAAGACTATGATTTCAGCTATTACTTTGTAAGGATACAAGATCAATCAACTACCTACTTTTTATGAGAATCAATATTAGTTTAGGTTTCCTAAGCATGCATGGTACTCCGTCGAGTTATCACATAATTGCCTAGCTTCATTAACTATCTATATGTTCATAGAACATTAACTAAAGCTAAATTCACTAAGTTTAGGACCTATAGTGACTATGTATGATTAATAGGTATATGTCTATCTTATTAATTAATCACTCACTTAATTTCTTAGTATGGAATGAACATATATTACTCAAATTTGAGTCCTTTTAGATTGTTCTTCTCAAGTCTCATCTAAAACTCTATACTCAACTTGCTGATGATCAAGCAACAAATGAGACATTAAGTATAAATTTGAATAAATATTGACATTTTCATAAAAGCAAGTAGAGGAAGAATCTAAAGTATTCCAACTACACAATAGCATCCACCATAATCCTAAATTAAAAACTCTAGCTCAACATATTCAAAAAAAAAGTACACGTTTCAACCAACAAAAACATTATTCTACAAAAAGAGTAAGAGAGAGAGAATCAAATCTAGAGTGAGAAAATGTTTTGTTGCAGCTTTTTAATCTTCCAACTCTTGATTCCTCTTTTTTTTCCCATTTTGTTCTTGTTTTCTTTTGCCTAAAATGGTCTCTCCAAAATCTCTCTTTTTTTCTTAGTGCAAAACTTTCTATTTATACCCTCTCTTTTTTTAGCTTGCCCTAGAAATATTCATAATCTGGAGCTTCTGTTTCTTTGTTTTTCTGCTTCAAGCTGCCTTGTGCAGAGTTGCTCTAGACCTCACTTTCAGCATTATTTTTGGTCATGATTCCTTTTGATTTGAGCCAAGTGCTAAACATCAAAGTTGTAGCTCACCCTCTCAGCTTTCCATTGGTTCAAAATTCACCTCGATCGGACTTCTACAACTCAATTTATGCCTCAAAAACTTCTGCATGTTCGATTGCTTTTAAGCCTAATTACACCCTCCTTTGCATTCATGCTCCAAGTCTTTGTATGTTCTTCAACATTAAGGGATTAAATAATCAGAGGCTGAATTGAGGGATTTTGATAAGAAATTAAGCTAAACTTGCATGAATGGAACTTAGCATAACATAAATTAAATTATTTCTAAAAGGAAAACTAGAAACCACCTAATCATAAAAAAAAAACTAAAAAACTTAGCAAAATTCAAGCTTCAAAGATGTCTAAGATAACTTTATATAATAGAGTTATCAGTATGATTAGAATGCCATTTCGGTGTACTAAAAGACAGGAAATGATAGTGAATATGAGCAGCTATTATTCTCACTAGTTAGTAGTTTCAATCACCTATGTACCAATGAAAGTATGAACTTGATTTAGGCCTGCTGTTGATAATGAATGTATGGATGCTTACATAAAATTGATTTGATAAGAAAGAAACCACTGACAAAAGCAATACATAAAGCAGAAATTTTAAATTCAACAACTGGTCAATTTTTAGATTTGGATAATAAGTTGCATTAAGTTGTTTTCTTCTTTTCATGAATGTGTGTGTCTGTGTAAGAGAGAGAGAGAGAAGAGAATGGACTGGTCTCTTTATGCTTAAATATCTCTGTTACAAGTTTCGAGGACAATAGCTCAAGTTACAACTCAGTGAAGACAGCAAAGAAGACAGCAAGAATGAATCCTCAAAGTCAATAGCACTCTCTTTTCTGTTTTGTTATGATGAAAGATGAGTTCTGCAAAATGGTATATTAATATAGCTAGGTAGGGCTCCGGACTAGGAGATATTCTCCCACTAGCCTGAACCTCTTACAGATCAGTCTATACATGGATGTTTGTTTTATATAACCAGCCTTATACTTCCATCCATCACAGTGTCTGCTGATGGTGATATGTGATCATATATGTTTAGTTATATATGCTTAGTCATAGTCAACTTCAGCAAAGCTCAAAACCTCTCATCAATGGTTTGAAAGCTGTTTCAAAAGGGTATTATATCAGTGCTAAGAACTTTAAAACAAATAATCCTCTTGTTAGCTGAAAACCCAGCACGTCATTCCTCATGTACCGAAAAACAATGCCTCCATAAAACTCCATTGTTTCAACAAACAATATTCAAGACAGGTCAAGATTTACCTTAGAATGTATTCAGGATTAAGTTGTACACAAGCCAATGTTGACCATGTAGTTGATGCTCTAACTAATGAATGGATTTAAAAAAAAAAATGAAAGAAATCAGCATTTTTCCTTTTCTATATATCATGGAATAAAAATAAGTGGACAAAGACAAGTTATCTTATTCTTACGTATCAGTTGCAACAAGAAATTTTTTCAATTTTTTTTATTATTATTCTGATATTGAATTGCTCTTGGATCTTGATTGCCTTTGACTCAACACACGTTTTTTTGTCTTGATTATACCGGAAAAATGCAGTTATACTTGATTATCCAAATTTGGTACAATCAAGAAGGTTAAACCTTGATTAAAATAAGGCTAGTAATTTAATCTAGACTTATAGCAGGCTGTGTGTCTTACCTAAACAACTGTTTTAGCTCATCATCTGCTAATAAAGACAGTTTGGTCACCTGACAAAAAATAATACTGAAAATTTTTCTGACTGTTGTTTCTTCCAGATTGTTGACAACCTACCCACCAAGCAACCAAAGGGCCATTCAGAAGCATCAACCGACCTGTTTTCTAGTGTAGAGAATTGCACTTATCTCCATTCCAGGCAAAGTTTCTTTGCAATGAAGCATCATGTAAGTCGAGTGTTTAGATATAATTTGATTACTAAAATACAAGAAGACAAGTATGTTGTATATGATAACTGATGAAGGAAACTTTTAACAGCCATGACAAGGTCTTGTATGAAACATTCATGTGCTAAGGTCTGTGTGGTACTGAATTATATAGCCAGAGATTTTCTTGCAAAACATTCATGTTAGGTTTGCTTGTTCAAATATGGGCCTAGAAATGACAAGAGAAGGAGAACATGTAGCTCTCATCTTTTCCAACAGATAAGGCATTTAATATTACTCATTCTATGTAGTGAATGTGAGCAGCTATCATTCTCACTAGTCAGGTAGTTTCAATCACCTACGTACCAATGAAAGTATGAACTTGATTTAGGCCTGCTGTTGATAATGAATGTATGCATGCTTACTATAAAATTGATTTGATAAGAAAGAAAACCACTTGACAAAAGCAATATCATAAAGCAGAAATTTTTAAATTCCAACAACTGGTCAATTTTTAGATTTGGATAAAATACAGTTCTCATAGCTTTATCAAATTTTACATGATAGTGGTTATCTAATATCTTGTTGATTTATACTTATAAGAAAGTCATCAATCCTCACATTCTCCACAGTCCACACGCAGACACAAAAAAAGTTAAACCATGGCTGCACAAAGCTTCAATGTTCTTTGTACTCTTTCCTCCGTTTTTATTATTTTTACCTATTGTTTAGCATTTGGGGTGATCTTAAGCCGCAAGGAGACCACCTTCTATAGTTTGTGATCCTCACGAATGGGAAGCGAAAATGTGAACATGTCTGACATAGGATATTGCGACACAGTCTTCCATATGAAGTTAGAGCTAAAGACTTGGTGGATAGAATGAATTTAACAGAGAAGGTGCGTTGGATGGGAGACAACGTTTCTAGGCCTATACCAAGATTGAGGTTGCCCAAATATCAATGGTGGTCTGAAGCTTTGCATGGTGTCGCACATGTCGGCCGCGGCACGTTCTTTACGGAGCTTGTTCCTGGTGCAACAAGCTTTCCCACCGTTATCCACACAACTGATCCTTTAATAAGTCGCTTTGGAATGCCATTGGAAAGTAGGAACATCTGGTTTTTTTTTTTGCTTTTTTGATGATAGTGAATAACATTGTAACTGTTGTTGTTATATGCATATATATACAGGTCGTTTCAACAGAAGCAAGGGCAATGTACAATCTGGGGCAAGTGGTTAACCTATTGGAGTCCAACAATAAATCCCGTAAGGACCCTAGATGGGGAAGGATCACGAGACGTCTGGAGAAGATCCTTTCGTGGTCGGTGTGTATGGCGTTAATTATGTAAGAGTTTGCAAGATAGAAGGACAAGAACATACAGCAGATCCTGGCTCTAGACCTCTTAAGTTTCTGCATGTTGCAAACATTTCGCTGCTTATGATCTTGATAACTGGACAAAGTTAATCGACAGACATTCGATGCAGAGGTAAATTTAGTGCAGTGTATGTATATATAGATGAAAACTTAATATCATATTGATAAGCCAATTGAAGAAGTTTTCTTCTTGTTTGAATGAAGGTGACGGAGCAAGATAGGTGGAACTTTTCTTCGTCCATTTGAAATGTGTTAGAGATGTGTGATGTGAGCAGCGTAATGTGCTCTTCAATAAAGTCAACAAAATTCCAACTTGCGCTGATCCCTTTCTTTTAAAACAAACATTCAGAGAAGATTGGAAACTCAACGGGTATACAAAAAAATCTACTAGTCTTTTGTTGTCAGAGATGTTAAATAAAATTTTACGTAGTTGATTTTTTAATCCTCTTTTGCAGATATATAGTTGCAGATTGTGATTCCATTGAAGTGACACAACGATAAAAAATGAATTGGCTCGGTGATACACCGGAAGATGCCTGGCACAGACACTAAAAGCAGGCTAGTAGCTGATATATATATATATATATAGGCTAAATGCATTTTTAAGAGTAATGTTTTTAGTTTGAGCACAGACTAAAGAAGATTTTCCTTCATGCATGTTGTTACAGGTTTAGATCTGGATTGTGGAACCACTTACCCTGACGCTCTTGAAAAGTCTGTCAGGCAAGGAAAAGTTAATGAGGCAGATGTTGATACATCTTTAAAGAACCTCTTTGTGGTACTAATGAGGCTTGGATTCTTCGATGGAAGTCCATCTTTAAAGTCACTGGAAAGAAAGATATATGCACCAAAGAACACGTTGAATTGGCAGTGCAAGCAGCTAGGGAAGGAATTGTACTTCTCAACAATGTTGATGAAACTTTGCCATTGAACCCTGATGCGTTTAAGACCCTGGCAATAATCGGGCCACTAGCCAATGCTACGAAACAAATGCTCGGAAATTATGAAGGTTGTAACAATATCATATATAACAGTTTCACATTTGATTGCCATGTTATTGATCAGTTACTCAATGTTGGTTTCTTCCATTATTGCAGGTAACCCTTGCCGATTTGTTTCTCCACTTTCGGGCTTTTCTGCCTTTGGACAAGTGATATACGCTGAGGGATGTCCTGGCCTAAATTGCCCGAATGATACAAAGATCTCGGAAGCCATCGAAGCTGCTAAACAAGCAGATGCTACTATACTTGTGGTCGGTACAGATATATCAATTGAGAGAGAGGATCATGATAGAAATGATCTCCTCCTTCCTGGTTTGCAACAGGAATTGGTCGAAGAAGTTGCTAATGCCTCCAAAGGTCCAGTAATTCTTGTAGTGATGACTGCAGGTGGGGTTGATATCTCATTCGCTAAGGATAATAATAAAATCAAAGGAATCTTGTGGGTTGGACATCCTGGTCAGGAAGGTGGTCGTGCCATTGCAGATGTTGTCTTTGGAGAATACAATCCTGGTAAGCAGCCATTTTAAAGCTTGATTTCCACCAACAGAAAATTACTTAATATAATCACTTAACATGATTTGATTTTTTTTCTTTTTTCCTTTTCTTTTTACCAGGAGGAAGACTACCCCTTACATGGTATACAGCTGATTATGTGGATAAGCTACCCATGACATCCATGCAATTACGTCCAGTCGAGGAAAAAGGTTACCCTGGAAGAACATACAAATTCTTCAATGGTTCAACGGTATATCCTTTTGCATATGGACTAAGCTACACAACCTTTAACTACAAGGTGACGACACCGACAAATGTATCTATCCCTATTAAACTGAATACTACCCAGCACTGTCACGAGTTGGAATTGACAGACACATCTGTCCAGCAACCATGCCCTTCTGTTGCAGTTAATGATTTAACTTGTGAAGATAAAATAGCCTTTGAGGTTGAAGTCCAGAATACCGGCGACAAAGATGGTAGTGAAGTGGTGATTGTGTACTCAAAGCCTCCGGATGGAATTGTCGGAAATCCTTTTCAGCAGGTTGTTGGATTTGAAAGAGTTTTTGTTGCTGCTAAACAGAGTCAAAAGGTTAACTTTGAGCTCAATGTGTGCAAGAGCTTGAACATTGTCGATAGCAGTGGTTACAAAGTTTTGCCAACTGGGTTGCATAAAATTATGTTGGGAACATCATCTGAACAAATTGATGTAAATGTTAGCTTTGCTAGTTAGATAAGTAGCAGATTTGTTGATTCACTTTAGGAATCAAGTTGTTTATCGGTCGGTTTTTAGGAACTTAGGATTAAGTTCAGTTATTTTTTGTTTAGTGCTGTTCTTTTGTATTTTACTCTGTACCGAAATAAGTGTCACCATAATCATCTGAATGGATTAACAATCATGATTCTTAGGCTATTCTCCTTTTATAGAACTAACTTGGCTCTCTTAATCATGATTTGTCCTGGTGAAATTGCAAGGGCTAAAGCTTACGCCTAAACCATGAATGAAAGGGACAATTTGAAGCATTAAGAACAAAAAATTCTGTGAAAACTTTCCAGTAACAAGTCCAAAAGATCAGAAATACATAAATATGACAGTTCTTCCGTTTCATTTCCATATAATGAAATAAGAAATAATGACAGCCTCAAATGTCAATACTGTGGTATCTACAGATGAGAGAGAATTAAAATACAAGATTTCTTGCTTCAACGTCAAGTTGTAGAGCAAAAATCTCTCTGACTATACACCAAAACAAGGTAACTGCCTTCGTGCTCTTTCTCTCGTCTCTTGATTCCATCCCTTCAAAGCAAACCATCCAAAGTAGCAGAAAATAGAGAAGCACTCACGCCAGTCACTCCATCATTCTCTGATGAGGTTTTCATTGTCCATACTGGGAGGAGACAATGGTGGAACAGCAGCCTCATGATCTGCACTAGCTTCAATTTCTAGCACCTTCCTAGCAGATGCCTGATGCTCTGTGCTTCTACCAATCTTTCTTGATGCAAAAGACACAGAGGGAACAGCTCTTGATGAGTTACTACTATCAATGGATGCTAAAAACTTGTCCCTTGAAAGAGTAGTGGGGGCAGTTGCAATAATGGAGCTGAAGACGCCAGACTCCCTTAAACCTTGTATTATGGCCTGAGACAGCAAGAGATAACATTTATATCATTTCAAACAGAATTTAAAGATGGCAGTTTTAATTTCCTGTGACTTCTTTATTTTAAAAAATGCTAATAACTGTACTTACCATAGGAGCATATATGCGAGTTAAAATCCCCTTTCTCAGGAGTTTCAGTCTTAGGTCTTTTTCACCCCATACAACATGTTCACGATACCTACAAAAACCAGAGGCCATATAGTTCTACATCAGCACACTCACACACTAGATTCAAGCTGAGAGGGACAATGAAGCAGAGCACCCAAAAAGATAAAAAAGATCCTGCATTCAAGTATATACCAGTTAAGCATCTCTTCCTCTGTTGCAGTTGAAGCAATTATAAATGCCTGCAATGAAAAAAATTTACACAGACAATGACACTACACTTAGAAGGAAATGATATAAAAAACAATCATACCAAGTAGAATTATACATCAGAGAGCAATCCATCCACATAAAGCACAAAAATTCACCCCACATCTCATCCATGCTTTAGATGAGTAAAAAAGACAAACAACTGGGAAACTCAGGATTCAATGAAATCAAGAACCAGGATGGGGCTCACTCATGCCACAAAAGACTCACTTGGCTGTCCACTGACCACCGCACAGGAATATTAACAACAAAACAGATCCTTCAGCATATTGCCATATGAATTACTTGGAACTTTAGCAAACATCAGTCGAAATATTGCTCCCATTTTTATCAGTGTCAATTATTCAATTGATCTTTGATGCTTGTAACTACCTAAATCATGTACTTAATGGTCTTCCCCTTTAATTTTAGACTCCCCAAATTTCTCAAGAAAAACTTCAGTCAGCATAATACCAAAAGTCTGTAACTCCAGTGGTAAAAATCTAGTGTAGTTTAGTTTAGTGGCTTAAAAAAAAAATCTAGTTTAGTGCCTTAATGGCATGTTGCATTCCCATGTTCCAACACTTACCACAACTCAAGAATAGCAACAGCAAATATATCAAGATAAACAAGAATACAAGAATAACAGAAGGTACTGAAATTACAGCTCTATCAAATTCCAACATGAAGCATCTTTTGACATCTTCCTTCAAAGGTTTGCAGCCACACCGATCACGTCTAGATGTCAAGTCTGAAAATTTGGCATATGTGTAGTGTAGAACAGCAGCCTCCTCCAATTTGATTTCACTGAAATAAATTGTACCAAGTATCATCACAAGTGCTATTTCTATGTACCAATAAACAGAAAATAATAGTGAATATAAACTACCATTCCCCCAAGTAGTTTCAATTGTTATATGCTTATCAATGATATGATGCTAACATAAAACTTGCTCTCATTATCAATGACCAAGCTGGTCCTCATCCCCATCCCCACCCCCAACCACCCCTCCTCCTCTCCCACCCTTCACCCAAATATTGAAACAAATTGAATTACATAAGAATTTATGATATATGTATATATGATTCTCATACTGCATCAGGTTATCTGATCATGATTTCCCATGTGTAGACAGAATCACCATACTTTGGGGTTTTCATATAATTATGCCATCTGTGAGCACCATTTGGACGAAGATGATCCTGAATACGAGCAGTAGCTTTCCCATTTCCATAAGTCAAGAAGTAGTTTGGATTACCGCGAGTTGATTCTTTATACAAGCCAAAATATGTGTCCTTCGGAAGATGGTCATAGTTCTTCTTGAACATTGTTACCTGTTTGCAAGGATAGAAAAGCCAGCCATGTACCAAACTCCAAATCCTCACTTCAGTCATTCAATTTGCTGAAATAAAAAAGAAAAGCAAGGAAAAAGGACAAGTGAAAATTTACCTCACTAAAAGGATCCTTGATATCATCTCGTTCAACACTGCTCTCCTAAACAAAAAGGGGGTAAATTTCCACTATCAAACACCGCAGGCCAGGATGACAAATGAATAACAAGATATACAATCATAACCACCAATTCCAAGTTCCCTTATTGATATATTTCTTAATAATTAATATAATGCCACTCACATAATTTGGAAATATGACCATATCGACATTGCTAGGCACATCAAGGAGCAACTGCCTCAAAGAATATTCACTTGCACCAGCTGGGTGTATCAGTTCATCAGTATCAAGATGAAGTATCCAGTCCATTCCTGCATCCTTGAATTTCAAAATGCAAAAGAATAAACTCATCAAAAAAGGTCAAGACCATTGTGCTAGTAATTACAAACAACAAAGTATTTCCATTCATGAAAATAGAATCATTCATACAGCATACCCGTGCCATGACAATGGCCATTTCCATATTGAGAGACTGCTTCACAAATAGTTCATAATTGCATGGCTTGTAAAAAAAACTTGAAAGCCATGTTTCATTCCAGATCCGGCTGACAACCACAACAAATTGCCAAAACAATAAGATTAAGAAAACAAACTCTGACAGTAAAGTTACAAAACACAACCATTTTGACAAAAAAATAAATGGAAGTTGTCCCTAAAGAATTGGAAAAGAAACAGATGATGGGATAAATATAGATGCATACAAACAAAAATAATGAAAGAAAGTATGATATAGTGCAAACTAAAGACAACTTATCACCAGTGGCCTCCACATTCAGCTAAACTACTACTTAAACAAACTACTAGGAAAAAACATTGGGAAAAACCATATTTCTCACTTTAGCTTTAGAATCCTAGAAATGTATTTCAATCATGAAAGGAGAAATGCTAATTGACCTTTTAGCCTGCTGATCTTCAAGCTCTCTTGTTCTGTATATAACTTTTACTCCCTGGTGAGCAACAACGTAAAACTTATGCGATAAGCAATTTGGACAAATGACAGCCACAAGTAAATAAAGTGGAACAATTCTACTTATAGTTATGAAAACAGAGCAAAACTAAATCGAAGGAAGCCAAAGGCTTCATAAACTCACAGGGATAGATTCCAAAACTCTAGAAACGTTAGGAGATGCAGCATGCCCTTCCACAAAGAGGAAAAAGGTTGTGACTCCAATAACCTTATGATAAAACATCCATGGTAAAATCTGCTCCAAGCCAGCTGATGTACTTGTTGTGACACAAATCTGCCATTTGAGAAGCAAAACAGCCAAAGGTTATAAACAAATCACCCCAATTTCTTCTGGAGGAAAAGTCAGCTAACAAAATAGCCAAAAAAAAAAGAAGGTAAGAATTTGATTTAAGCCTTCTGTTGCTAATGAATGTATGGATGCTTACTATAAAATTGATTTGATGAGAAGGTAAACCACTTGATAAAAACAACTTTGCAAAGCAAAAATTTTTGAATTCCAACAACAGGTCAATTGGGAGAAAGACCAAAAACTTTGAATTCGATGAATTGAATAATAAAAATTTCAACCCAAAATCCAAAACACAGAGACGGGTCAAAGCCAAAATGAGAGAACTAAACAAGACCCCAAGCTGAAACCACAGTGGTTAAGCAATATCCACCAAATATCAATTACCAGAAGCAAGATCAATCCCAAAACAAAGAACCCAACAACCAAAATTATGCAAAAAAAAAAAACATAAGAAGCAAGAAGGCGATCCCGATATAATATTCTCAGCCTATAGCAAACAAAATAAATAGTTTCAGATCACTCCCCAAAAGAATAAAAAAACCGTACCTTTGGCTTCAAATTGGCTTCAAAACCAAATTTCCAGTCTCCATAGTAAGGGAATGAAGGGGAAGAGCTACGACCAAGATTGATGCAATCAGTAGAAGAATGGGATTTAGGGGAGAGGGACGAGAAAGTCTCCATGCCAGGGAAGACCTCGTGGTGGGACCCCCGTGGGGCCCATCGAGAAGTGGCGGAGGATGTGGCGACGGTGGGATCGGACACACTGCCTCCGCGCCACTGGAGAACGAAGGCTAAGGCAGCTAAAGAGAGAGGGAGGACTGTTAGGAGGAGAAGCAGCTTCGAAAGGAAGGATTGGGAAGAGGAGGAAGAGGAGGCTGAGGTGGAGGAGAGAAGAGAAGTGGAGCGGTGGTGGTGGTTGGCGGGCATGGCGGAGACTGTCGGAGGCAGAGACCAAGGAATTTGGAGTTTTCAAGTGTAAAATGGGGAGTGAGAGCCGTTTGACCCTTTTCGGTTTTGTCCTATTGCAATATTTTCTTTCTTTTTCTATTCCCTCTTTTTCTTATGTCCTTTAAATAATTAGATTTTTCCATTTATGAATAGAGGAAAAGGACATTTAAATGAAAAAAAAAGGAGCACATTTAATTATTTGAAGGCCAAGATGTTAATTATTGGAGAATTTTTATATGGAAAATTCTTTCTTTTACATTACAAAAAGAGAGTACTATTTAATTAATTGAATAAAAATTTGTTTACTACGAATTGAATAAATCCTTGTATATTTTTGTCAATTTGAGGTGTGGAGGGGCAGCACGCAAGAGATAGTTACTAAAAAGAGAGACCTCCCAAAGACAGCACCGCGACTGCAATCAATCCCTCTAAAAACCTAACCCTAGAAATCTCCGACTAAGTAAAGGATTCAAATTTCCTCCCTTTCCTAGTCCGTCTATGCTTGGTTGTGTTGAAGTCGAAGAGGATCAGAGAGAGGGTTCCTCCTTTAAATGCTCTCTGGTTATCCCCCCTTCAAGGTTCCTTCTTTTTTCATGTCTTCTTCAATCACACCCTCTTTCTTCTCTGCTCCTTCAGGGTCCTCTCAAGCCCTAGGCCAACCCTTTGATCTTTTCTCTATACGTCTCTTTCCCTCTCAAACTTCCCCTTTGCATAAAACATGACTGATTCTAAGGTTAGTTCCCTTCCCTGCCCCTCTCTGAAGATTTCTATTTTTTGATTAAATTTTTTAACTTTTTTTTGTTAAATGGACGAATAATAGCTGTTTCTGAGGTGGGTTTACTTTTGTTTTCTTGTTAAGGACTTAAAAGTTTAGGAATTTTCGTTTGTTTGATGGGTTTATGCTTATGCCCTCGTCTCTTTTTAGCATTAAAATTTTGGAATGTTTTAGATTGATTGATGATTGTGGGTTGGGATTTATCTGCATACATATATCATGTGGTTGAAACTGAATTATTAACAATGATAAAAAGGAGGTTTTGCCTTTCCCCTTTCTAAGACAAGCGTCACTATGTTTTACTTATGCATCAGCCATCAATTGACTAGGCCTTTAAAGAAAATTCTCTCCATTGTTTTTCTTGCTTTTAGCAGGTATTCCTTTTTGGGTCATTTTCCGAAGATGAAACCAGGTCATTGCTGTCAAAACAGTCAGCTGGTAATGCTGAAAAGCCTGTGCAAAAGAAAGAATTGCAATCTGGTTCTTTGAATTTTGCAGCTGGAGGATCTTTGGGTGGTGCTAATGGTGATTTGAGCAACAAGCAGGGTTCCACAAACCGGCCAGTTGGCTTTCTGTCCTCAACATCACCAATTGCGGATAGAAAAAGTATAAAATCAGCAAGAGATCATACCTCAACTACATTACAAACTCCAAAAGAAAATGGAACTACAAAGAGTACTAATGAGAGTTCTAGCCTTAGTAATGGTGTAAAACAACTGAAAGTTAAAAGCACTGATGTAACTTCACTGCACTTATTGCAAAATGATTGTGGTCCTTTGAATAATTTTCAAAGTTTGAAATTTGATGTCCTTGAGAGCGAAAGTATGGAGGGTAGAGATCAGAATGGGATGAATGATATTTCATTAGCATGCACTGTTGATGGAGACATTCCAAAGGCAGCTAAGGAGCCCATTACGGTTGTTAAAAACTTACTACCCCGAGGTTTGATCAACACTGGAAATTTATGCTTTCTCAATGCCACTTTACAGGCTCTCCTATCCTGTTCTCCTTTTGCTGAACTTTTGCAGCGGCTTAGACTTCGTAACATACCCAAGGTTTGTTGTATATTTATGCTGTTTCCTTTAACTTATGCACTAACAAATGACCATCTTCAAATTGATGATTTTTTATATTTGAAGATAAGTAAATAGGAACTTGTCAAACTAACTAGTGCGTTTGTTTGGCTTTGATTTGCTAGGTTGGCTTTCCAACATTAACTGCTTTTGCAGAGTTTGTCTCTGACTTTGATGTGCCATCCAGCAATCCTAATGTAAAGAAGAAAGATACAACAGTCCTTGATATCGGTAGGCCTTTCAGCCCTGCCATGTTTGAAGCTGTTCTTAAAGTTTTTACTCCAGATGTGCCAAATAGCATATCTGGTAGGCCAAGGTTTGTATACTTTCTACATCAGCATTATTTCAGGACATGTATTTTTTTGCCAGCACCAACTGACATCCTTCGCATAGACCTTTTTTCTGGCAATAACAAAACTTGACTAGTTGATAACATGATACTATTGAAATACCACCATCCATGATATCAATTCATATATGCTAGTTCTGGCCTTCTTGATTTCTTTTAACTCTTTCTGAAATGCTAAAAGTTTTTGAGAGATTAATTATCTTACCTATCAAACCCCACGCTCCTAACTTTTGGTGTCAATTTATAGTGATTTAGTTGTTACCTTGCTACATTTTCCACATCATCATTTTATTAGAAGAAATACTATGATTAGTTGAAATGTTGTATATGTTTGAAAAAACAGAATGAACAATGTCTTGCAATTTATATAGACAACTGTTTGTCTTCTGTATTAACATTGTGATGATTTTTTATTTATCATCCTTTCCAGGCAGGAAGATGCTCAGGAGTTTCTAAGTTTTATCATGGATCAAATGCACAACGAATTGATTAAGCTTGAAGGGCAGCCCGGCAGCCTTGTTGGGGTCAGGTCATCACTAGTTTCTTCTGTAGAAGATGATGAATGGGAGACAGTTGGGCCAAAAAACAAATCAGCAATCACTAGAACTCAAAGCTTTCTTCCTTCAGAGCTAAGTGATATATTTGGAGGACAGTTAAGAAGTGTGGTGAAGGCAAGAGGTAGGCATATTTTCTATGGCATGCAAAGTGTATTGGACAATACAAAATAGCCAATTCGTGGGGTTAATTATTTGATTCCTTATATTTATGGTGTTTGCCAGCCTGTGGGTTTATTTTTGCTTATGAGTGTACCTACCAAAAGAGTGCTCAGACAAGCTAATACTGACACAGACAAGTGAACTAGATAATTCCAGCCATTTATGGTTTTAAAATTTGATCTGTGAACAAAGTGGAAGAGTTTATATTATCCAAACTGGGTTTTATTTTGTCTGTTATATCCAGAAGTTAGTTTGTTTATCTTGGGTGGATGTTGCACTCTGTTATCTGTTTATGCTATCATTTGTTAACATTTTAATTGTTTTCTTTTCTTAATTTGTTCTGTGGGGCAGGAAACAAGGCTTCAGCTACTGTTCAACCATTTCTATTGCTCCACCTTGATATCCACCCTGAAGCCGTTCATACTATTGAGGATGCGCTTCATTTGTTTTCTGCATCAGAATATCTTGAGGGGTATCGTGCATCAACAGCTGGGAAGGTATCTATTTTCTTCTAATTGTTTCATTTTGCTGTTGGCTACTATATTTGCTCACATGAGTTTCCCAGCTTTTTGCATGATGAGTTAGAAGAGTACACCTATCATGAGAAATGCCACTTTCTATTTTTGTATAATTCTTATACTATGAGTGTTTGTTTGTACTATACATTTCATCTTTTCCTGTATGTTTAGATATTGTTTGTGATAAATCGGATATTGTTTCGTGTTTATGCCCAGCAGGCTGGTGTTGTCACTGCCAGAAAATCTGTCAAGTTACAGACACTTTCAAAGATAATGATTTTGCACCTGATGCGTTTTAGCTATGGAAGCCAGGGGAGCACCAAGTTGCATAAGCCTGTACGCTTCCCTCTTGAATTGGTATTGGGTCGGGAACTACTTGTTTCTCCATCCACTGAGGTAATACTTCGCTTCAGTCACTTGTTTAATACAACTGCATTGCATTATTCTGTATGGTGAAACATGAAGACATCTAATGCCATAATCATGTTCTTGTCTATTTATACCCCCTAACTACTTAGCAAAGCCAATGCTATCATTAATGTTTAATATTTGTACTTTATTTATAGGGCCGAAAATATGAACTTGTTGCTACAATTACCCATCATGGAAGAGAGCCCTCTAAGGGGCATTATACAGCTGATGCTCGTTACCCCAATGGCCAATGGCTACGATTTGATGATGCCTCTGTTACAACCATTGGGACAAGCAAGGTGTTGCATGACCAAGCATATGTTCTCATCTATGAACAAACATAGAAGGTGCCGGAGTTTGGAGTTTTTAGGCTACTTGTACCGTGTTTGCATTATGCTCAACCTATACTATGGCTTGTGTGTAGCAGGAACATCGAACGTCAACAGATTGGCCGAGTGATTTTTCCTTTTCTTGCAGCAGCTGGTTGCTCATTAGTCTATTGTAATGATAATGAAAATGTATGAACGTTCTTGCTATTCAATAAAATTTTGCTAATGCTTAAACCTCGTGTTTGAAATCATAATTATTGAATATAATAACAAAACGTTTAAACTTTAGATACTTGTTACAAATGTTAAAAGTTTGAGCAAGATCAAGTATGTCACGGAAGATTTTGTTACTGGGACATAGTTTTAAGTTACTAGGAGGGAATAAACATAAAATCAAATAGAGAAATGGGAAATTTTTCAACAGCAAACTCTTCATTTTCAACAGCTAAGTTCCCATATTTCTTTTTCTCAAGTTAAAAAGAAATGATGTGGAAATTATTTCTCCGGTTAATGTTCTTAGGAGGCCAGGAATAATGATGTGACTTTTGTCTCTTCATAAAGTCTCTCCCCTGATGTTTTGCTTGTCCCCACCTTTAGGGGACCCCTTTTGTCTTTCTGCACGTCCTTCTAGGGCTTTGCCATTTGTGAGACCTTCCAGCCTTTGAGCAATCTTCTTCCTCAAGAATTGAATGAAGCATCTGCCCTTTCCCCGCTCCAAGAATAAATGTGGGTGATAAAACGAATGAAGCATCTGCCCTTCCCCCGCCCCAAACCACTGTGTCTAAACAGCAAAGGTTGCTTTGACACTTGCTTTACATCAATCCTCTCAAGAAGGACCTCATCTACTATTTTTTGCATTTCATCAGACATGGCTGAATCACCCTATCCCTGCCATCGTATTCTCACTGTCTAAGCAGCATGCCGTCTATATCTATTAGCCAAATCTGAGAGTCCAGATGAAATTGTTGTCTAGCTGCAGACTGCAGTGGAACTTACTCAAGTGACAAATCGGGTATATGTGAGTGCCTGGAAAGGAACATTCGTTGGTCCAGCTGACCCTGCTGAGAAATACAATGCCTTGGATCGAATATGCCCAATGATTGATGACAATACGAATTGTTCCAGGCACCAATCTCTTTATAAATTTGTTTTTATACCTTTCATTTATGAATATTCTATCGTTAAAAGTTAGTGATTTGAGTATTCTTTTTGCACGCAGGCCTTAAAGGTAACTGTTACTTTTGATTAATACAATTGTCAGCTGCTGTTAGTTTTTGATTGCTCTGTGGAATGTTCGTTAATTACCTGAAATTTGGTTAAAAATTCTACCCTGTAGTGATACAGTTTAGCACATGCAGGTTATAAGACCCCTGACATATCTCACCTACATATAAATATAAACACGCCGATATGAAGTATCGGGTTGCCAGTAGGATCAAACAAACACCATCAGCCTAAAAGGCCTGCACCCAAGCATAGCAAAAAAGCCGAGTAGCATAAGATGCTCATCCACTGCAACCAAACTAGCACTTCCTAATTATAACCACACCCACCCATCATCTTAGTTTCATTCAAGAAAAGTGAAGCAGGTAGTTTTGAAATGTTGTTACTTACCAAGATTTTGATCTTTTCATCAATCCTCTTTCTTCAAACATCCTTCATCCTTTTTTTCAAAGTTGTCTGCATCATGTGTGTAGACCTGTCAATGCACTCGTACTTTGAATTTTTGACAGCCTATATGCAAGAAGTGAAGCCCATTTCTACAGAGAAGTTTGAATTAAAAGCAATAGATAAGAACTAGATTTAGTTTGTTACAAAAATTATAGTTCAAATTAAGATATATAAAAGCAGATAAAACAAAGCGGTGATCTTAGCTTCATTCAACAAGAATAAGGCAGGTAGTTTTGAAATGCTGTTTTCTATATATAAAGCTCATGTAACCGCTCATGCTCGTTACCCCAATGGCCAATGGCTACGATTTGAATAATATAAAGACTGAATAGAATTTTTGACCATTTATATATATAGTGCAATAGCCCTTTGTAATGATAATGAAAATGTATGCAAGTTGTTGCTATTTAAATCCTACAAAATGCCTAAAATTGTGGTTAAATCCAACCTTCCATCTCTTTAGAAAATACCAAAAACTTGTTTCCTTGGGTGTCTGCATGCAAGTCATAAGAAGCTGGAGGCCCAGGAGTATTCAGCCTCGTGCTCTTTTGAACTTGGTCGAAAATGTGGTTCCCCAGACACCATTTGTTTTCCCCCAGCTTACGAATTTACAAATTGTTCCAGGTATCACTTGCTTTTTCAATTTATTTTCACTTGAGCATTTCAATCACTGATTTGAGTTTTATATTCTATGTTTTATTTAGGTTTGTTTGTTCCTCGAATAAATCCAACCCTGTAAGCCTTCTTATACTATTCTTACTATTGCATTTTCATGGTTGCTTTACTTGAGTTATTTGTCAATCTGAAAAGTTGTTAACCGAAACTTACTCAAATTAAAGCAGATACTTGATTAATTAATCCAGATCCAAACAAAACAATATTCATCATTAATATATGTAATTTATTTATAAAATATTTAAATCTTGTGTATTCGAATTACATATAATTTTATAATTATGTTCCGTCTGTTTATTATATATATATATATATATATATATGCATAAAGGAAGTTTTGATTCTCATTTTTTCACTCTATGGTACAATTTCTCTAAGTAGATTGATGTAACAGTGGAAAAATCATAATCATATAACAGTATCTAAAAAAGAAACAAAATTGTATCATCCGGAGAGTGACATATGTAATAATAAACCCTTTGATTAAGGATATAAGTAGCACTGAATGAGCAATCACAAGACAGTACTTTCACATCCGGAGAGTGACATGGCATTGGCAAAATCACAAGCACTTGGATCGAGTTTACAAATTCAGTTGGAATTATGTCATGCTTGCTGTGTGAATAGTGGTTGAAACTTGCATAGAATATGAATTAGTCTGCGTATTAATACTTAATACTGCATGCATGAAGGTGGTATTACCTCTTTTTTCTTTCTCCTCTTCTTTATTTCTTTCTTGGCCGCTTCTATCCGATCAAAACCCCAGAAATATCAACCCCAACTTTCAAGCAAAGGTTTTATATATGTTTTGACACTTATGCTTTTACATCAATCTTTTGTTTGTTCCAAAAAACTAAGAAACAAAAATTGTCATGCTTTATTGCATGAATAGTGGTTGAAACTTGCATAGGGCATGAATTAGTCTGATCTTATGTTATACTAAACAAATTATAGCAGAGGGGTTAGGCAGCCTAGGTCTTTTTGATCTAGATGCTCCTGTGGTCCAATACAGGGACGAAAGGCAAAACCATAAGTGAAGCAATTGTCACAAGTATGAACAAAAAATTGTCGGTTCACTGCTTGCGGCTTCAATAAGCTGAGTAGTTTCTTTATGGTGACTTTAACCATTGTTACTTTACTATATTTTGATTCCCTAATACTTTGAATTTTCCAGTGTAACAGCCTTTGGCAAGATTCTTGTTCAGAAGAAAACGAGAAAATGAAAAAGACATGTTTAATTTGATTAGTCCTTAGTAAATGACAAATGTCTCCACTAATCCAGAGACATATTTACATGGATCAAGTTGGAGAACACCATAACACAGCATTTAAGGCAAAGATTCCTTTGTTAATGGCTTCTTAGATTGTTTGTTTAAGTTGTAACCATGTTCTGTGGCCCCTATCGCAGAGACGACTTGATTAGACTTAAGTTTGGCCTAAGCACCTAATTTAATTAACTAAATTGCATTAAGAGTTGCGACGTAATCATGTAAAGGCCATAAAATATTGTTTAATTCCTTGATTAAATCACTGAAATTCTAATGATCATTGAGAGAGAATAGAATGTCTACCTGATTTATTTGTCCTTAATTAGCAAACAACAAAAGATAATTCTTCATTAAAAAACAGAGAGCTGCTACATTCCCAATCATACAACTGAAAAAAGAAATGTAAATGATTGTATTGCTTGAATATTCCCTCAAACCACCAATTACAATTGACAAGAATCCAGAAAACTGTGTGAAAACTCAGGAAAAAGAACCCAAAATAAAAAGAAAAATGGATCACACCACTCCCAAGAATTTTATCCAAAGTTAACTGCACATTAAGACCTGAAACCCCAAAAACCAACTTCAAGATCTCCTATGTTCACAGCTTGAATCATAACAAAAGCAAATGTATGCAGAAGCACTACAAACAAAAAAAAAAGGGGAAGCAGTGCTTCACTACTCACAAAACATTGATTCATTGTTGATCCTCCTGTTTGGCAGAGTTCTTGGGCACCCACCACACCCTTATAGATTTGTCAAGGCCTCCACTGTAGAGCAAGAAACCACTACCAACATTACAGGGAGCCGCCTGCAAACACTTGACTGGCCCTTCATGACCATTTATGACCCCAACTTTGCAAAGTTTACCATAAGCCTCTCGCTTCCAAATACCAATGCTTTTATCAGCTGAGCCACTGCACAAAAACTCTCCCATCAGGCACATGCACAGAACAGCCATATGGTGTGCTTTTGTCTCGCTCACCAATTTCCAACTGACAAAATCACCATTCCCTTGCCCTTCCCACCCCATAACAAACCCGTCTGAACCCCCTCCATAAACCCACTTTCCATCCTCAGAAACAATAACTGAATTCAATGAAATATCCTTATGACCCTCCAAGATCCCCTTCAACGAATGAGAGGTCTTCCCTTCTTTTCCAGAACTCCAAGCCTTAATCTTCCCATCTGCAGATGCTGAGTACACTATTCGCTTACAAGCTATTAAGCTATTGATAGCATCATCATGCGCCTTAATTGATTCCAAGCACTTCAAATCAGATATCCTCCACACCTTAAGGGTCTTATCCCATGAACCTGAATAAATCAGTCCATCATAGACTGCCAGACAAGATATACCATCCGCGTGTTCAATCCATAAACGCTTATGATGCCGTCTAGTATGGACATAATTGCTTTGCTTCATGAACTTCCCCAAATAGTCCTTTGTAGTAGGAAGTGTGTCCACAAGCTTAAACACATTCTCTGAGCTTCTTGACACCTTCCAAACTCGGATCCTGCTATCTTGATGTGCCGTGAAAACCTTATTGCTAACAGTCACTAGCCCTTTCACCGAGCCATCACCTTGGCCGAACTTTGTGAACTGCCTCAAGTCAGGCTGTTGCCACACTATAATGTCTTTGCCTTGTGATGCACTTAAGATGAATTCCCCGCATAAGGCCAAGCAAGAAACTGAACCAACATGCCCGGACAGCACTGCCAATGATTTGTATGTTTGAAACCCAGACAACGTTTTGGATGGAAATTCATATTTGGTGACATCTAGAAGCTCAAAACGATGTGATGCGGGTGGGCTATCATCAGCTTCACTGCTCGTGCTGCTAATGCTGCTACTACTTGCTGTAGCAGATGATAATAAGGGAGTTGACAACACAGCTTCTTGCATGGGAGGAGCCATGGTAAGAAAAACCATTCCTGAATCGTATATGCTCCTGTCTGAGAGAAAGAGATAGACGTTATGTATGAAAAAAGAGAGGTTGAAACAGGGGAGCAGGGAGTAAAGAAGGGCACGGATTTCCTGTTAGAGAGAGAGATGCTGAATTAAGATAGGGGGTGAGGTGTAACGGCTATTTTGACAAATATAAGTTCACACTCATGAAAAGCAGGTACGAGAAAGGGTCCACCAGGAGCTTTTCTATTTATTATTTTAATGGAGGATTGACCTGTTGGTCCTTTTCTGAGCGTGGTTGTCCGTTTGACTAATTACAATGTGACATGTATCAAGGTTTCCAGGATGTCTCATTTTGATGGGATCTTACTTTTTGTTCTTCCATTGTACATAAATTTCCTGTTATTTCCACATCTAAGAAGCTGGACAAGGAGAAAAGCAAGTGAAAAAGTTAGTGAGGAATCTGCTTTGTTTCCATTCAGTGCGTGATTTCATCTGCTTAGCTAAAAAAGAACTGTACAATTGACTGTAGAAAAACCAAAAAAACAAACGATTTTGAGAGCTTCTCATTGCCAGCATATTGTTGGCTCACGGTCAGTACGCATTAGATCCTGGAAGACGACCAGGACAAGACAATGAGAATGCTAGTTCCACCAAAGCAAGTGCACATTCCTCTTCAAAACCTGAGACAACTCAGACTTCAGCTGAATGCCCAAATCTTACAAAAAGTACACTGCTAGATTTTTCTTTTTTAACTTTCTTAGAGATTTAGCTAAATTGCAATTCGATTGAGCGCACTAATCATCATGATTAGCGGACATAAAACATACCAGGTTTGAAAAGAAAATGAAAGGAAGTGAGAATAGAGCTTTCAGTTATTGTTCAGAAGACCCCCCAACAAAGACTAATCAATCTAATGCCAAACTCATGCGTTTGAAATCTTAATTATTAAACTGGAATTGGTCGGCTACTATTCCTAACCTTTTTGAGAATATAATAACAAAACGTAAAAGTTAGACCAAGATCAAAGGTTTCATGGAAGATTTTGTTTCAGTGAAAGAAAAGTTACGAAAGAAGGAATAAAGCACAAAATCAAATAGAAATATGGGAATTTTTTAACTGGTTAACTGAACTTGCTTTCAATCTTACCAGGTAGAGGGGGAAACAAAGATAAAAGATAAAACCCAAAACCATAAATTATACATGCTTTCCTGTCAAAACAAATGTCTGTCGGTAGATTCTACCTAATTTTGTATTCAAAGACAACTTTGGCATTGGCAGGTTGGTGAAACATTGCCAAGTAAAAGATTGTAAAATAGTAAACTAAATTCCCAGTTGAAAAACTAATGAGATGAAAGCATTACTTACAAGCGATACAAGCTGCACCAGTCCTGTAGCATGTAGTGAATTACAAGACTCAACAATTCCAGACAAGAAAACAGCTTCTTCAAATTTTGTTTCTCTTCTGTGCTTTTGGTTCTTTATGATTCCAACTACCAAGACTTGCATATTCTAATCCCAATTACTTAATCACCTGATCAAAATGGCAGATGTTCAACATATAGTCACATTAGTCTGCTGTCAACTTTTCAATGCCTGAGTAAACAATGTGAAAGAATGGAAAAAAGGTTTCAAATCAATGCTTGTCTAATAATTTTCACTAGAATATATAAAGTTAGTTGTTGGGTTTGGCGTGATGATTCAGAAATCAACCGGCTAGACATGAAAAACATTGGACTAGGACTGAGCAGTAAAGCTCATTTGGACAGATTCAAAAGAAGTTTGGAACAAAGTTTTTTTTTTTATTTCAATTGTCTTAACCTGAAAAAAATTTCCCAATATATATATATATATAAAATAATATTATAAACATGTATAACTCAAATTCGAACAGTAGTGACAGTGTGATGCAGTTTAGATTCGCACAGCACTTACATTGTTACATAAGTGGTACGAACCTCACTCATAAACTAGAAAGACAAAAGTAAAGTGGAAGACAACCCTTTAAGTGAAGCAACAAACACAAGTTGTAAATTCCTATGTACAAAGATTTTGACCTGAAAACAAAGGAAGTACTCTCGAACTAGATATCCCAACTCATGTCAGTGACAGTGAGGAATGGTGGATTGGTCGCGAGCCGCATTTGGATTTGGGATCAGAAAAGGTTGTGAATTTACTATTTTGTCTTGCTCTGTTACACAGGGTCATGTTCGTCTTTTTAAATGCAAGTTGAGAACTATGGAAGCCAAGAAAGAAGGTGGCGCCATTTGTGCTCACTTTCAAATCTCCTCACTACTTTACTCTCTCTCTCTCTCTCTCGACTCAATCCCCAATTCGAAAACCCTAACCGAAAATTCTCACATTTCCCCTTAAAAACTCCGAGTCTTGGCAATTGAACAAAAACCCAGAATAGTGATGGAGAAAAATAGGCGGGTAATGTGCCCGGAGAATGAGGGATTAGCGAATTACTTACTGCAGAAGAGGCAAGAACTAGCGGAGAAGCCTCAAGGGATAAAAGAAAACACGGACATGACTCTTTCAAAGGCTTACAACAACATTTGCAAGGCTCAGCATCCCATCAAGACACTCAGAGATCTCAATGACATCAAGTACGCTCTTTTCTTATGTCAAATGGATATGATCAGAAGAATTATGGCAAAGTTGTTTACTTTTATTTCTTTATATCTGTACGGTTGAAGGACCTCTTTTCTTTCTCATTTGTCTTTATCTTTTTTATTGGAATAATATGGTTTATATTTGTGTATAGAGGTGTCGGGAAATGGACTCTGGTGCTTATGCGTAGCTATTTCGACAATGGTTCAGGAAGTTCAGAACCAGAAGACGTAACCACAAAGGGTACATGTAATTCTGGTGGTTTTTTTTTCTTTTGAATTTCATTTTATGTACTGGTCCACTTGAATTGTTCATTCTCTTCCTTTTCAATTTTACTTTTTTGCTTGTTTAGGTAAGAAAACTAAAGGAAACAGACGTTATTTGCCACAAAAGAATTCTGTGGCATATGCATTGTTGATTACTCTATACAGGTATTTATATATCTCTTTACATAAAATTGTTTTTCATCTTTGTTTCTATATAGATTTGAAGTATCAGGTGAATGTGCCTTGTCATTAGGGAGACTGCAGATGGGAATGAATTTATGCATAAGCAGGATCTTATTGATGCAGCTGAAGCAAGTGGGCTTTCTCGAGCACCAATCGTGTAAGTTGATTCTAGACATTTAATTGTGGATTAATCTCATGAATTTAAATAGTTTTGGAGCTTGATTGGTGGTTTCAAAACTGGATTTATACATAGGCCAGACAAAGGGAAAGGAAGACCTAGCCAATTTGGAAGTTCTTCGAGGGACTGGTATAGCGGATGGAGCTGCATGTCAATACTGATAAAAAAAGGGTTTGTTGCGAAATCAAGTTGTCCAGCAAAGTAAGGATTTTATTTGGTTTCTGTTGTTCCTTTTGAATAATGCATGAGCCTTATCCTTTTACATGTTTTTAAATTTATTGGGCTGGCTGCACGTGATTTGTTAGTGTTTTATGTATGAAATGCTAACTTCTGTTATGCAGATACATGCTCACACCAGAAGGCAAGGAAGCGGCACGTGAATGTCTCATGAAATCTAAAATGGAAGATCCCTTAGAAAATTTGGTTAATGTGGAAGAGTTTTCTCAACCAGAGACGCCGAATGCTTGTGTTGAGGAATTTGCTCATTCTGATTCAGTTAGAGAAGAGGCAAATGCAACAGCTGCTTTTCGGCAGAAAAAATCCATTGATGTTCCCCTTGATTCTCTTGAAAGGGTATCCGTGAACTGAAACGTTTGTAACTTCTGATTTAAATTTCATTTGATTTACAAAGTTAATTGTAGTTTCAGATTCAAGTGCGAGTCTCCTAAACCACAAGCAGTATTATTACTCATCTGTGGAATTTATGTTCACTTCTTGTACTTTTTAACTTTCTAGTGCTGACTTCTTTTGTTCTGTTCAGGTTTTGTTCTGACTTTTTGATCTCCGTTCTGTAGGGTACTCGCATGGGGTACTCTGAGGGGCAAGTACGTTGTGCTTTTGCCGAAGTCTCTGAAACTTCCAAGAACAAGGAGATTTCTTCTCTTTGGCCTGCAGTCTTGTGTCGTCTTCGAGAAGATCAAGTTTATGGTTAGCTATTGTCTGTTTGATTGTTGAGAAATCATGTAGAGATGATCAATATAATCATTGAACATTATGGGACATGATTCTTGTCTATAAATGCTCAGGGCAAGAAGATCGTGTTGGATTTCAAAGTACTCGGATGGATTTAACTAATGATGGTGGAGATGTGCTGAACGTGTTTACCTTGAGAGCTTGTTCTTCCTCTGTATGTCTGCCTTTGGTGAATGGCAATTCAATTATCTTGCATCTGTGTCTCAGATATATTATGATGGGATAGAAAAATTTTACCTAGAAAAAGAACAGAAAAAATGGCGGAGGAAAAAGAAAAATGTTTTTGATTAGACTTACGCATGTAATAGGTAGTTCTGGCTTATGATGTGCCAGAGCCTAATGACGATCATTTCCTGTAAAAGGCTATTAAAAAAGATCCTGCTCAAATTCAAAGGGTTCAGACTTTGTTGACATGCATGTGTTTTGGAGTCTTTATACTTATCAATTAATATCAAAGGAAAAGAAAGATGAAAAAATATGCTACTAATAGCAAATGATTGCTTGTTCTCAAAATTTTCTTGTTCATTTATAGTTCTAGTTACCTTGTACCCTTTCTTCCCTGACTTCTGTTTGTAACTTGCTTGATTTAAAATTGTCTGTGCAGAGGCCAAATTCAGAAGGTCTGGATGCAAATATCAATATTTTAAGTATTCCACCTCTGAGCTTCGGGGAGAGATTTGAGGATGTATATGAAGTAATCTTAATATTAGATGATCGAGAGCAATTTACTAGTCAAGGGTTAGTAATTTCATATCATTGCTTTTTCCTTTTAGATGTGCTCTTTCAAGTTTCCATTTCTGGGGAAGTGAGCGATGTTTATATGTCTTGCGGTTTACAGTGCACGCTCCAAGAAAATGATAGAGAAGATTTGCTCTGAATTCAAAATAAAAATCAATGTGAGCTTTTAATTGCTTTTCATATCCCTTACTTTCATCCTACTTTTGCAATAAATTGAGAGACTAGCCTAATCAGCTGACAGTTATTTGCATGCTATTTTCATCATGTATTGATTTAAATTTTAACATTTTGATTGGCTTAAACTCCATGGTTTTCTCTTAAGAGGCCAAATTTTTACATAAAATTTGTGGTTCAGTGCAAGTTTTTATCATATCTTCATATTTTAGATTTTTAATAAGTTTGTGAATGTTAATATTTGATACTTTGGCAGTAGTGAAAAGGTATTAAAAAGAATTAACTGAATGTTGCATAGTACCTCCTCAGGGCAGTAATGATCCAGAAACTAAACCATCCTTAGGCCCCATTCGGTAACAGGTCTTAGTGTGGTGGGGGTGCATCCTCGCTGCATTGGAGCCACATTTGGCCCCAAGCACCACTGGATTGGGGCCTGTTACTGAACGGACTCTAGTGTCTTAAGATAAAGTATCACATGAAAGAAGAAAATGAATCACTATAAGTGTCAAATTATTCCAAAAGCTGAAAGTATTGAAACAGGCTTTTGAATCTAGCCCAAATTGCCATGAACCTCCAATTATGGTTTTGTGCCTTTTAGTAAGTGTATTTAAGAATGATGTCAGACTCAGGCATGAGTGTCAGACATAGCTGTTCAACACAGGGATCTGGGTAAATGCAAGAACTACATATATCAGTGCTGGTCTGATGTTTGTATGTAATTTTTTGCTGTGGTTAGTTATGACACCTCCTTTTGATCAACCTGAGTTTCTACTACTGTTTGCAGTAAACTATCTCTTGCAGTTGACAGATGAATTCTTGTTTCTTTACTAGTTTTATTACATGACATATTAAATACAATTATTTATACACTGTTCTCAGGTTAGACGGTTGCCTATTGGAGATGGAATCTGGATAGCTCTACATAAACATCTTTGCAAAGAATATGTTCTAGACTTTATTGTTGAGAGGAAGAAAGTTGATGATTTACGCTCTTCAATACGGGATAATCGCTACAGGGATCAGAAACTAAGGCTTCTGGTATTGACTCTCAAATTCGATAATTCATGATTTTGGTTTCATAACTAACGGTGATGCTTGTTCCTTGAGTTGTACCGATTACAAAGTATTCTTTTGTTAAATTGCTTATTTGAAGTTACTCAAAAATTTTGAAGGAGTCTGCATATTTTAATTGACCTAGCTTGATTTCAAGTTTGTTATATATGGCCTTAAACTGCATTATCAATATCACTAGAATGTTCATAAACCTAAATTTACCAAAAGTCTTTAGCCTGTGGAGATCCTTATTTTTCTTTTTCCTTGTTCTTTTCCTGCATAGCCGATAAGGTTTCTTATAAATTGTTTGACACTAGCCATTAATATATGTTGGCTTTTTTGGTTGGAATTTATCTTCAGTTTCTTCCTTATGGCAGCTCTTATGTGGCATGTCTATTTTTAACCAAATTTCTTGTCATATTGTTGTTCGAGCAACTTGAAGCATGTCTTCAACACTGTCTTCTCATCCAAATATTTAAACTTTTAAATTTTTTAAGGGGTTGCTAGTTACACTAACTTTTATGGGCTAACTTGAAGAAATTACAGATGTGAGCAGAAATAGGGGAGTTTAATTGATTTCTGATTCCTCAAAATTTCTTTTCACCATTTCAACAAAGAGAATTTTAAATATTATGGGTGTTTGTGCTAATAATATTCGCAACAAACATACAGAATTTGTTGATCCAGTTTCACTTTTTCTTGTCTAGACTAGACATATGCTTTGTGTTTCAATTTCAAATGTAAAATTTTATTTATGCTTACTTTTCAACTTAGGTCTAATCCATATCATGCCATCATGACATTTCATTTTGCAAGAGATCTGGACTTAAGAAGCTGATATATCTTGTGGAAGGTGACCCAAATTCTTCAGAAGCTGCTGAAAGCATCAAAACTGCGTAAGAATTTTTTTAGATATACTTTTACGCTCATTTTTCTTTCTACCGGCTTGTATATCTCTTTTTCTTCACAAAGGAGCAATTTGTATAATTTGTTTTTGTACATAAACACCTTTATTCCTTGCAGTTTCTTTTTTCATCTTTATTAATTGTTATCTTTAAGGTTCAAGATTGTTACTTAATCCTACATCTAAAATTGATGATGAAACTGATCTTCTAGAATAGTGAAGGAAATCTCAACTCTCTCTCTCTTTCTGACTGTATTCTTACCATATGCAGGTGCTTCACAACAGAGATTCTGGAGGGGTTTGATGTTCAGAGAACAAGTGGTTTGCACGATACTTTGAGGAAATATGCTTATCTCACTCGAGCAATAACTCAATATTACAAACTGCATCTGCCTGAGGACCAGTCTAGATGCACTGGGGTCTGTCCTGCATTTGATGAATTTATCCTAAGGTGCCAAGAGCTGGATAAAATGACAGTCAGTGATGTATTTTCCATTCAGCTTATGCAGGTACATCTATTGTTTCATTAGGAAAAGGTTATTTGTTTAGTAATAATATGGTAAGCTCATCTTTTTGAACTTTCATTAATAGTGGCTCATCAATCCTAACCCACCATGCCTCTGTGCCTATATCATGTGCTGGAACTAGCATCATCTTCTCTAAAGATGGTTATATTTATTAGCAATAGATCTTGATAATCTGCTTTGGGATGTGTTCTTATCCTTTAATATTCTATTCTGTCTCTGTTGAGGGGTATCAACATTAATGGCTTTGTTTTATTGGTCTGTGTACATGGGTTCATATGTAGGCTTAATAATTATGTTGATGTATATACTTGAATACCCTTTTAAGTATAAAGATTGGCAGGTTTTTTTTAAAGTGATTGACCTTGTTGGTAACATTTGGAATCATATAATTGCAGGTCCCACAGGTGACAGAGGAGGTTGCCATAGCTGTTGTGGATTTGTACCCAACACTAGTATCTCTTGCCCATGCTTACTCTCTCCTTGTGAGTTCCTTTTTCCTTAGGTTGGGGCTAGGAACTTTGCATGAGAAAATCAATGGTTGATCGCAACCTAGTCATCCAACTGCATAAGAGTCCTCTAGTTAGTGGTTTAGAAATGAGAATTAAGAGAAAGGGCTTGGTGGATCATAAATGATAATTAATCATTTACTCTTGTATAAAGTAGAAAATCCAAATAGGTGACAAGTTGTCCTAATTGCTAAACATTCTCTTCAAGTTGTATTAAGAAGAAAGAAGGTTTTGTATGGGAAGTCCACAATGCCATGGCCTATACTGCTGCCATGGAGCCCTTTTTGTTATAGCCTCTAAAGTCATTTCCTCTAGGGCATCTTTCATTTATGTTTTTCTTTCAGTTCACTGACTTTGGTCCATTATTTGTCTTTGGAAAGGAGGGTGATGTATGCGCACAAGAGGAGATGCTTAGGAAGCAGAGTAACGATGTGGTGAGCTCAGCTGCTAGTAAGAACATTTTTCGGTTTGTTTGGGCCGATTGACAAAAGACAGATCTCTGGTAATCTAAAGAAGAGTTGTCCACCACTAAAGCTTTCTGTGAATGTTGTTTTGATGAAGTTCAATGTAAATAATATAAATAAATAGATTATATGCATAAGCACTTTGAGAACATCCATAGCTCTAGCATTGTTGATAAGCAGGTGCTAATTATCATGCATGAAGGTGACTAATAAACTGATTTTCAGTTCTTATAGACAAAGGGGTTTGCACTATTTCCCATAGAAAATATGAGAGCTAGCAGATGGGAAAACAGCGATATCAGTTTAAACTTGAACCAGAAATTCCATAGTTCCTTCCAGCTAATTCACGTTATCTAATTTTCTAACTATTTTGCTTTTTGGTGATGCGGAAGCTGTCCTGGACCTTTCTTGTATTTGAATTCACAAACTGCAAAAGGAGGTGAAGAAATGCCTGAATTAGCATAAATCTGTCTGATAATCTTTCTAGAATATACCCAGATACCAACCTCTACCATTAGCTCATCCATTGTTGCATGTGCTTTAACATAGCCAAATTCAGAAATCCTTGACAAACTCCAACCTGCTACCTGTTCATGAAGGATAAGCAGGTGATTTAACTGTGAATAGTTTTGACAGAAGATGTCTGTTTAGACTTACTAAGAGTGAGAATTTGTCCAGACTGAAGCCAGCCATTCCAACAACAGCCTGTACTGGTGCTTTGTAGTTACTATTATCATATGTGTCTATCCCATTTTCATCTTTCCTTGGCATTGCCAGGCATTGGGACTTATAAATGGAACATGTTCTCTCATAATTATGAACATGGCCGAAGAGAACCAGATCAACCTGGTTCATGGTTGCAAAACATCATTTATATAGAAGAGAAAAAAGAATACCAAATTAATTGTCAACTAATGAAGCTAGAAGGGGCTTTTACTTTGTTAGCTAGCAGGACTGGTTCTACAACATCTCGAAATTTATCATCGGTGCTTTTGACAAGATAACTACTATACATTGGCCTGTGCCTGCATTTTGCAATCATTGCAGTTGATAACAGTCTTAGCAAATTATGGAGGAGGGCATTTTGTGGAAATATGTACATCCTTTAACTTACCCTGCGAAAATCAACCAAGGTGTTTTTGATCGATCAACTGAAGCCATGTCCTTCTTCATCCAATTGTACTTTAGAAAGTTTTGAAATGTCAATTTCAAAGTCTTTGTAATACCGAAACTTCATGGAAAAGGTAGGCTAAAAGTTTTTTACCTGCTCAGAATTTTCTGTCCAGTCGTGTTCTGTCGAAATGACAGTGAAGTGAACACTACCTTGTTCTATGGCATACCATGGCTTATCCTTTGCTGCAGTTGGCATTGGGAAGTAGGTCTCATAAGCAACTCCACATTCTCCTCCAGAGTCAGGACCTGGGTAATACGACCCTGAATCTGCATAGTCCCTGAAAGGTTGGAGGAAAACCATACTGATGAATGGTAGCAGTTATTTCCATTCATCTTGATCTGGAATAATATTCTTTTTCTTATATATTGTTGGAAGCATCTCAGCCTGTGTAGATATTTTGGTTCTGATTTTAATCAATTAGTGGATAGCTTGATCATTTGTTTTGGTGCTCATCTGCAATATTGAGCATGCAATGTTCTAGACAGCTAGTGGGCAGGAAACTTACCTCTCATGATTTCCAATTGCTGTCATGTAAGAAACCTTGGAAGCCGAAGGGCTTATAAGGTGAAGGAAGAACTCCCATTCAACTAGAAAGCCAGTTGCATAGCTTATGTCCCCAATGTGAAAAATGGAGTCTACGTTGCCATTTTTCAATTCTTCAACCATCGCTTTTACCACTGAGAGAGATCCTGGCTATATGTGCCACAATTATGTAAACCTCAATCACTGCATATATATAGAGTGATGGCATATGTTTTGTCCTATTCAAATTTATCGGCACGTGCCAATGGATTTTGTTCAGAGCACAAACCAGTGATATTACTTGACATATAACTGAAATGTTGGAAATAGACAAGGATTGAACAAGCTAGTTTTTCAGAAATTGTTATGCTATCATGGTTTAGGAAAGATTTAGAACAGTCCTATTTATCCAGGTTCACGTTGAGTTCTGTCTCTTACCTGTATGAAGTGCTCAGCAGAAGCATCAAGAGGAGCCTTTCCCATATCACCATACACAAGAAATTTGAGTTCATCTGACCCTCCAGCTGGTGGAGTCCGGAATTCAATTTTATCACTCCATCCAACCGCATCACTAGATCACATAATACAAGCCATTTTGTTCTCCAAATTAGCAATGGGATATATGTCTTTCACGGAACATAGCAGCAAAATAATAGCTATGCCACCACGACCATTATCAGAGCTTGTAACAAGAATATTCAATATCATAAGTTCATGTTCCCGCCATACCTTCCATATTTGTAGTAGGAGGTGCTGGAAGGCTGAAGTCCTGTCATCACTACTGTGTGAATGTAACCAGGATCATGCCACCCGAAATCCTTGGCAGGACTTGGTATCAAAATAGAACCTATCCAGTTTCACAACCAAAAGCTCAAATGTAAATGAAAGAAAATGCTTGTAACATTGTCACAACATGATATGCTTGAACAGTTGCAAATTCGGAACTCACTGCACATATCATCCTGTGAAAAGGTCGCAACCTGGGATGTCTGTGATTTTCCATTTCCATACTTCACTTGTTGAGGTTTCTTATCCCCACTGATCCATGTTAATCTCATCTGCGGATCCAGTGACAACAAAATGGCAAGCCTAAGTCAAAGTCTGGTGGATCCGAGTTTTAATTGCTTGGTTACAAATTTGTTTTGTCAGCTTACCGATGTTCCAGTGGAATCTATGCTTGAGAGATGTCCATACAATGGTGCATTCGGACTCGAAAACTTCAGGGGGATGGTCCTCTTCAAAAGGCAAGGCTTATGGAATCCACCAGTGAAGAACACAAATTCGATGTCAGTTCTTATGTTAATGACATGAAATGCTACGGAGCCACTGCAAGTTGTGACCTTGCATTTGCCTTTGCTATGTCTCTTGCATTCTTTCTTCTTGCAGCTTAGATAGTCTGGATCACTGCTCACAAATTTTGCCTGCACAATTCAATGGATACGTTAAGATTATTGTTTTTTTCTCATGCTTATTTGAAGTTTACCTATGAGAAAATGGCTGGTCAGTAGAATTCCATGAGGAACAAAATGAAGACCAGGCTGCAAATAATTTCCTGTCTTCATCTTTCAAAGTAATAGTAACTGGTATTTGATTTAGTGATTGATACATATTCTTTGTTCGAATAGAGTTCTCATTTCTCTTCTAAAGATTAACTCGTGAAAAAAATGTCAATCCAAAAAATTTCACTATAATCTTCCAATTAATTAATTACCGATCCTATATACTTGAGTTTAGCCTGGATATATAGCTAATTGTAATGGACTACAAGGGGAGCAGAATGTGTTATCGGCATTTAATCTCAATTCTTTTATAATGATAAAAATTATTTGATCAAATTTAGATGGTGATATATTTCATTTTCAATCTAATTGTAAATGCATATATTCTTTATATGATAATATATTTAGACATGCTCTTAAAAATACGTAAACATAAAAATAATAGTTAAATAATTCATATTTATGCCTCGATTTTAGGATAGAGATTTCTAGATTAGAATTTGATGTTTTTAGGCAAGTGATCCAAAGATTGATGATTAAATTGGAAGGTACACCATAACTCACGTTATGAATGTGATGTCACATGAGCTGCCTAATTCTAGCTGGCTCTTTTCCTACCTCTCACAAAAGAGAAGAGAAAAAATAGAGACTCTATCCGTTAGTTATTATGACACATGAATGACGTCTCACATTTAAATACAAAGGAACAATACAATCTTCATGTTAACAAATAAAAGCTTAGAATGATGGAAGACTTCTTAGAATATTCTCCATTCAATAATAGGGAATGCCTCTCGCTACAAGCAATGGTGCCTTCAAGTGGTTAGCAAAACCAGATGTATCATTTTGGATAAGCAAAACTTCAATGAATATCCAAGGAAAGCAATAATTATTAGCTGGTTATATGCATAGACTTATAGACTTAAATCTTAGATTCCAATTTTGGGTTGTATTCCATAGAATGGTCAAGGATGAAAATTGTCATTTCCATAGTTTCCATTGGTAAAAAGGGCAACAAGCATTCAAAAGGTAGAAAATGGGGCTAGTTTGGTGAGTCTGGGGAAATGATAGTGAGTACTTAATTATATGAGAGGCTTCAGCCATTAGCTAGAGGGGGACACTGCTAGAATTTTAATTGAATACTGTAGGTAGAGGAGAGTAATCACAGCTGTAAACAGCAGTGAGTTTTGGGTATTCTTGCCAGACAGGAAACCACAAAATGGAATGCTTTTTCAATGCACACATCCAACAAGACAGGTGACTCACATTTTTATCAAGTTTGCCAGTTCAACTCTTAGTTAATTGCTTTCATTGACTTTAATTTTACACAGTTCCGTGTAACTAAATGCAGACCATCACATGAATGCCTGGAAACTGTGATTTGCTTTTTCTATATTGTGGTTGAGCAATGGTTACCTTAACAGGATAATGGCAGAGAAGAGGAAGTTTACTGATATCACCCGTCTGTAAACAAAAAGCTTCACTCTGAGGACAAGCTCCGACACTGCATGTACAAGGAAAAACGAAGTAAAGAAGCATAAATTTGACATGAAGGGAACTTATGATTCTGATCAAATTAACAGAAAAAGAGTGGGGAACAGAAACTGTAAAATCTTACTTAGAATGAGAAGGTGAGATCATGGCGATCCAGTCTTCTGGTGAAGGAAGCAAAACTCCGCTAACAGTCACGGTGACAAACTCTTCATTGGAGAGGTCAGAATTCTTCCTGACATGAATTTGGAGGAAAGGGTTTGAATTAAGACATTGAAATACAGTTCTTCTGTTGAGCACACGGAAGTCTGATACTGTGGTGTAATTTCGATGTATGAAGGTTGAGGTGGCAACCGAGGGATGCACCCGGAAAGAAGAAGATAAACAAGGAAAGCTGAAGAAGAAAAGGAGGAGTGGAAAGAACAATTTGAAAAGACAAGAACTGAAGGGTTCTTCCATTGAAGCTGAAAGAGAATGAACTCGTGACTATACAGGCGAAAAGGGTTATGATTCTTGGGGTGATCTTCTTGTTGTCTGTATATCTTTATTTTTATTGCTTTGTGTCTGGCATTCCGGAGATCATCAGGATTTCGGACACGGTGAGTTATATGGAAGTTCAAATGTCTTTCTTCTGACAGATTTGAGGGTTAAACTGAAAGTGGATTCTTGCATGTTGGGAATATTTAAGGGTTGCCGGGCTGCATAGGCGAATTCCAGGGGGGGCCATTTTGGTTCCTTGATGGAACAGTAATGTTATGTTGATACCATGAGGTTGTTATCAAACAAACATTTTTGTCCTCATTACTAGGATTTTCCTTCACTATTATCATTTCTTTTAATTTTATATTGTTTCCATTAATTCCACAAAATTTTAATTTTTTTTAATTTTCAAAAGCATGATATAAAATATTAAAAAAAAATTACCTAAGAGGCTATGCACAATAGTACAATAATCCATTTAGAACAATAGATTACTTAAAAGTTCATACATATAAATGTGGATTTTATTAAATACTTTAGTGAATCTTATATAATTTTGTAATCATGATTCGGATAATTTATATATTTTTTAAGTCATTTTTTTTTTATGTATTATCTCATTCGATATTTTAGAGAAAAAGATAAAATTTCAATAATTGCACTTCTCTAATGACCAAGATAGACCCTTTGAATTTTTTTTATAGAGAGTGCTGCTTGAATTTTATCCAGCTTTCGATCATCTCGCTCTCAGGCCACCTTGATTTTTGGTGATGCGGAAGCTGTCCTTGATATCTTTGGTATCCGAATTCACAAGCTACAAAAAGAATGAAGGAAATGCATGAGATTTATAAACATAAATTTCTCTAACAATGGAGTCTTAAACTGTGTTTATATTACCAACCTCTAATTTCAGCTCATCCTTTGTTGCATGTGCTCTGACATAGCCAAATTCAGAAACTCTCGACAAGCTCCAACTAGCAGCCTGTCCATGGATGATGAACAGAAAACTTTTTCTGTGACTAAATTATCTGACATTGAGATATAAATACTATTGATTCAACAGATAATGTCTGTAAACTTACATTGTCTGGGAATTTGTCAAGACTGAAGCCAGCCATTCCAACAACAGCTTGCACAGGTGCAGTGTAGTTGCTGTTATCGTACGTGTCTATCCCATTTTCATCTTTCGTTGGCATTGCCAGACACTCAGAATTATAAACCGAACAAGTTCTCTCATAATTATGCACATGGCCGAAAAGGGCCAGATCAACCTAGTTCATTTTCCCATTATCATAATTGTCAGCAAAAATAGGAAGTTGAACCAATTTGAATGAATCATGAAGCCAAAGGATTTTACCTTGTTATCCAGCAGAACGGGTTCCACGATTTTAAGAAATTTATCGTCAGCTCCTAGAGAACTATACATTGGCCTGTGACTGCATTTTGGAAACAAATAATGGATTACTGTGAGTTCTGATCCTTCCTAATTCAAGTCATTGGATGCATTTTACAGCCTTTTAACTTACCCAGTAAAGATTAACCAAGGTGTTTTTGATCGATCAACTGAAGCCATGTCGTTCTTCATCCATTCGTACTGTAAAATTTCGAAGGGTCAGTTTCATAAATTAGATGCAAAAATCAACACGAGATCAGATTGGAGAAATACTGTGTTGGAAGGGTAAGTTGTGTTTCACCTGTTCAGACTGTTCTATCCAGTCATGTTCTGTTGAAATGACTGTGAAGTGAACACTGCCTTGTTCTATGGAGTACCATGGCTTATCTTTTGCTGGGGTTGGCATTGGGAAATAGGTCTCATAAGCAACTCCACATTCCCCTCCCGAATCTGGACCTGGATACCATGAACCTGAGTCTGCATAATCCCTGAAAATTGTGAGGGTACACTGCTTAATCAATGCCTATTCTATTTCTCCTGATTCAGACAATACCAGAGACAAGTCATGGAAGTGAATTACCTCTCATGATTTCCAATTGCTGTCAAGTAAGTAACTTGAGAAGCCACAGGACTTATAAGGTGAAGGAAGAAATCCCATTCAACTAAGAAGCCAGTTGCATAGCTTATGTCTCCAATGTGAAAAATGGAATCGACATTGCCATTTTCCACTTCTTCAATCATTCCTTTTATAACTGAAATAGATCCTGGCTGAATGTGCCACAAAAACATAAGCCTCATTGTTAGCATACTAATGCCTTAAAATATATAGCATGCAATCTTCTTCTTCTTACTATTGTTTTTGCTAAACATGTGAATGAAATTAATTCTGTGAAATTGAATTGAACTTCCGAAATGTGAGAACTTGGCACACAGCAATTAGAGTAATCCAATAGCACGGAAGTGATTTTCAGGATTTTGGTTCTGAATTGCTAGTACCAGCAAGTTTTAGATCCCTCCTTTACTATTATCTACCAATGACCAGAAACAGTTCTCAGTAGCAGTAATAACATTGCCCTGCAAAATTGCATCTCTACGACTCTACCTGAATGTAGTGCTCAGCAGAATCATCAAGCGGAGCCTTTCCCATATCACCAAATACAAGAAATTTGAGTTCATCTGATCCTCCTGCTGGTGGTGTCCGGAATTGAATTTGGTCACTCCATCCAACTGAATCACTGAATCACAGAAAATGTATTTCGTTAATATAGGGCAAAGCGACAGAAAGACCATTATCAGCTTGCAATGAAAGAAAAAAAAATTGAGAGAAATAATTAATTTAGGTAGCTTTGGATCAAGTTCCTGCTATACCTGCCATATTTGTAGTTGAATGTGCTTGAAGGCTGCAGTCCTGTCATCACCGCTGTGTGAATGTAACCAGGGTCATGCCATCCAAAATCCTTGGCTGGACTTGGTACGACAACAGAACCTATCCATTTCAAAATCAACACCATAAATTTAAGTGAAGAATGTTTTTGAAAATGTCAAATATGGTTTTAACAAATGAGGCTCTCATCAAGAGAGTACCAATCCGGAACTCACTGCACATATCGTCTGCTGAAAATGTTGTAACCTCTGATGTCTGTGATTTCCCATCTCCATACTTAACTTGTTGAGGTTCCTTATCCCCGCTAACCCATGTTAATCTCATCTGCAGCTCCAGTGATGAGAAAATACCACTCAGAATTCTTACCAGAAATAACGACAAAATCGAATGCAACCTTAACAATCTCTGAATTGTTTATGATCACGTCCTAATAGCCTTTAAATTTTTATTAGTAGGTTCAAATGGCACTTCTTGCAAGTTCATCTGGCTCACTATATAACAAATTGTCTACGCAAAGTATTTTCTGCATCTTGTAAGATACAAGGCATGTAGTACTTCATGAGGTCAATTCGTTTTCCATCAAGTTAGAGACTGATACTTTTTTGTATAAAAATCTGTAAGCATCTTCGACTATAAGATTTATGTGTTCATCATAAAGTGCACAAATGCTTTATTTATATAGTCTAATAAACTTATTGGCCCTTTGCATACCGATGTTCCAGTGGAATCCATGCTTGAGAGATGTCCATACAATGGTGAATTTGGATTAGAAAATTTCAGGGGGACGTCAGTCCTAGTCAAAATACAAGGTGTTCCAAATCCTCCAGTAAAGAACACGAATTCGATGTCAGTTCTGATGTTAACAACATGAAAAGTTATGGAGCCACTGCAAGTTGAGATCTCACATTTTCCGTCATTGCCATATTTCTGGCATTCTTTCTTCTTGCAACTTAGATAGTCCGGGTCACTGCTCACATACTTTGCCTGCGCAATTTGATTACTGTATATTAGAACGTTTTCATATGCTCCTAATATAGTAATAATATATATACCTATGACCATGAGAAGAAAGGAAAATGAGTAACCAAG